TTTTTTATTTTCCTCTTGAATGAGCTTAGCTGCTCAAAGTAAAATGATATATTTAAAGTGATGCAGTAGGTCTGATGAGAAAACCTGTTTTCTCTCTTCCAGCTACCGCTACTGCAAGAACAAGCCTTACCCCAAGTCTCGCTTCTGCAGGGGTGTTCCTGGTGAGAACTTTTAACATTTAATGTTCCTCTTCAGATTATTTCAGAACCTGCTAAATTACTGCTGCTCAGCCTCAAACCTTCTCTTCACTGTTTTCATCTAAGAACCGTTCTGCATCATTAGCACTGAGGTTTTGTCTCTGCATTCATCCGAAATGTTCTGGTCATCTTAATCAGTTCAAGTTAACCTTCCAGTTTGTTTTATTTAAACATGCTGCGATGTCACAACTGTACAGTCTCATTAACGTTTTAAATCCCTGATGATGTAGAACTAATAATTCTCACTAGCTTTAGTTAAATGAGTGAGAGGATGCTAATAGTTTCAGCTAAAAGATTTAGCGTTGTGTAATTTGAAAAGACCAAGAATGGTTTCCCTTAATAAAGGAAAATCAGAATTTTTGGATTAAAAACCTAAATTATAGCTACTCAACCAGTTAGTTGTGTTTCAGGGAAGAACAGCTAGCATCTCCTGAGTGTGTGACAAACTTGATCAGGTTAAATCAGGAATTTCTTCATTTAAAGACGTCTGAGTAGCTTTCAAGTTTTCCTAAATTTCTGTCTTTTTCGGCACATAACAGCAGAAATCATTTGAAGGAATACTTGTATGCTTCATAAGGTGCAAGTTTATCACACACTATATAGAATATGGATGTAAATGATTGAAAATGTAAAGGCAGCGTCTGAATTCCATAAACATTGCCTAAAGCAGAGTTTGTTGTGCAGAAATCTTTAGAATCAGTTTGCAGTGGCACCACGATGCGTTCCACTGCTGGTTCTGCAGCTTATTAAGCCGACCGGTTCCTCTGCTGTGTGGTTCTGGTGTGCAAAGGCTGCAAACAGCGACTCTCTGGTTGTGTATGTCCTCAGCTGGGAGGTGCTGAGTGCTTTAAGGGACCACTGAGACATTTCTGTCCCGTGTGGAGTAAATCCACTCGCCCCCAGATCTGCTGCTCTTCAGCTTCTTTTCTCTCTTTTTGCAGATCCTAAGATCAGGATCTTTGACCTGGGCAGGAAGAAGGCCAAGGTGGACGAGTTTCCTCTCTGCGCCCACATGGTGTCTGATGAGTATGAGCAGCTGTCCTCAGAAGGTAAGAATGCTCTTATAGTTTCTCCTGATAAAAGTTTTTTTTTTTTTTTTAAATGATCGTTGGTTCTAAATATAAGTATAATTCTATAGACTATAGCACTTAAGTCTGTTCTGTCAGAGCAGAGTTGTTTCATTAGCTAGCTCTCGTCCTCAGAGGTCACCCTCCTGCTTTGTTCCAGCAGAACCTGAAAAAACTTCCTCCTAGGATGTCAAGTGTGTATATGATTGATGTGTTAAAGTTAAACGTGGAATATGCTGGAGATGTCAGTGAAGTCGTTTGACTCATTCAGAAGGAGCCACGGTCCAATGATGGCACACTCCAATAAAATAAAAGACAAATTGTATCAAAGTTCAGGTTATTTTTTTATACTAAAGCTTCTAAAAGTAGATCAAACTGAAATATTTACTCCATTTAAGAACTGGTTCTAGGTTCAGCTGTGAATTTTGTGGTGAATGTCTCGTTTCATTAGACTTTAATGTAGAAATAGTTCTTTTTTTCCTCATTCTTAACCTGCTGATCATGAAAGTGAATGAAGGCTGATGAGTCTGGAGACAAATGTTGAACTATTGGATCTGTAATCAGTGCAGAATGATTCAGTGTAGGTTTCATGAGAACTGAAATCTTCCTGTTGGTTTACATCCTCAAGCTCCATTCTAGTTCCTCAAATCTACTGAGAAACCTTCTGAATCCAGACCTGCTTCTGCTTTTTAAAGGCTCAAGGTGGCATTCCTACAAACCTGATTAGCCTGTCATCAGTCCACTAATGGTGAAAGTTACATACGTGGAAACATTGATGGTGATATGCAGAACTCCTCTACAGTGTCTAAAATGTTTCAGTGAATTATATTTAAGGTGCAGGTCCTGTCTGGGTGTACGTTGTACAACCTCGTCCCTCCACTGAAACACCCATCCAATAGGACTTCCATTTGGTTGTCATGGCGATCCAGCCCATTAACCATCCTGTCCTGTCCTCTAGCTCTGGAGGCGGCTCGTATCTGTGCTAACAAGTACATGGTGAAGACCTGCGGTAAAGATGGCTTCCACATCCGCATGCGCCTGCATCCCTTCCACGTCATCCGCATCAACAAAATGTTGTCCTGCGCCGGAGCTGATAGGTGATGACGCATGCACACACACACACACACACACACACACACACACACTTTATTTGTGCTCAGTGTGTGGAGGAGTCCAGTCTGACGTTTGCTGCTGTTCCCAGGCTCCAGACTGGGATGCGTGGTGCGTTCGGCAAACCCCAGGGCACCGTGGCCCGGGTCCATATCGGCCAGGTCATCATGTCTGTGAGGACCAAGGCTCAGAACAAGGAACATGTGGTGGAGGCTCTGCGCAGAGCCAAGTTCAAGTTCCCCGGACGCCAAAAGGTAAAGAGGAAAAAAAAATTGGAATTGTGAGAGAATTTGAACTCTGCAGCTTATTAAGCCGACCGGTTCCTCTGCTGTGTGGTTCTGGTGTGCAAAGGCTGCAGACAGTGACTCTCTGGTTGTGTATGTCCTCAGCTGGGAGGTGCTGAGTGCTTTAAGGGACCACTGAGACAAACGCGTCATTGTTTTTACTGCCTAATTTCGCCGTTGAGCTGTACTAACACATCCACTCTGATCTGCAGATCCACATTTCCAAGAAGTACGGCTTCACCAAGTTCAACGCCTGCGACTTCGACGACATGATGGCCGAGAAGCGCCTGATCCCTGACGGCTGTGGGGTGAAGTACATCCCCAGCAGGGGGCCCCTGTCCCGCTGGAAGGCCCTTCACGCCAACTAATCCTCCTGTACACGTCCTGTGCGCCGGAAACCAATAAATGGCTTTGACTACAAAATGAATGTTGTGGTTCGTTTTTTATTAAAGTGAGATCCACAGTTACAGAACAGACTTCATTGATGGGAATGAAACCAAACTACTAACTAATGTTAACTTGTGCCTGGTTTATTTGACATATTTAACTGATGGCTGTATATATAAATACACCAGATCTCTAGGCTGTTATGAGTAAAATTTCAGAATATTGCATAAAAATTAGCAATGTAAACTGAAGTACTGTAGTAAATAGAGACAGGTTGTTCTGAGCAGGGTAAAATGCTGCTGTGCAGATATTCTAGATCAATATCTACATTAAAGCAGTATCCATCTCAAAGATGAGCTAGTTTTACAGGAAGTCAAATGTTTCTAGTGTTTACGGCCTAACAGGTTCTTTTTCCTCAAGGCTCAACTGGAACCCAGTGAACAAGAATAGAAACTGCAGTGGGAATCGGATGAACTAAAAACTATTGCATTTTTTTGCTGGGAATTTTTCAGTAAAAATTTCTTTTTAAACTTGTAACTTGTAAAAAACTTATGAAACAAGTCATGGTGAGGTTGCATAAGTCTCAAGAAGCATTTCTGTTTTTACATTAGAGAAATTTTTTTTTAAGGAAGTCACTGAATAAAGGCTTTAGCTTCACATTTTTGAGTTTTTTTTTTTTTTTTTTTTTTTTTTGAAGATACCTTTCTTAAAAGGGGACCAAATATGCCTAGAACCATATATTAAGAGATGGTTTTAAAGTAAAAGAGTTTCAACCAAGTTTGATTCTAAAAGCGATTTGGTCTGTGATGACTGGAGCCTCAGAGGTTCACGGCTCAGCTGGAGAGTCTGTTGATGGTACTAAAAGTAAGATTCTCCTGTTAATTCCTCATGATTCCATCTATTTTATGAAGTGCACCAGTTCCTCCTGCAGCAGAACGGCCCTACAACATGATGCTGCCTCTGTGCTTCACAGTTATAAAGTGGTCAACTAGTTCCATCAGACCACAGGATATGTCTCCAGAAATGAAGATTTTTGTCCCTATGTGCATCTGCAAACTTCCTTCTTTGTTTCTGTTAAAGTAAAGGCTTCTTCCTCACTGAGTGACCTTTCAGCCCGTGTCAGTACAGGACATTTCACTGTGGATAATGTCACCGTCTCACCAGCCATATGGTTCCAAGCGACTCGAGGAAACAAAAGGTGTTAAAACAACTGAAAACTGTTTCCAGAACTGAACCAGACTGGTGCTGCTCCTGATTCTCTTCCTGACATCTTGGCTTATTTCTTCTAACTTTCTCATCTTGTCAAACCAGAAATCAGAGAGTTCCAGGTGTGGCCTTAAAATAAATCCACAGGTGAGCCTCCAATTAGGTGTCAGGTAACCTATCAGAAGCTTCCGAAGTGATGACGTCATCGTTTGGGCTTTGTTTTCCCCAATGTATAAAGAGATAGTAATTATTTTGTATGTAAACTTCTGATTTTGTATACAATAGTGAATACATCTCTGACATATTCTGTCTCTCAATGTTGTGACATTTACCTAATAGAAATAATGTCAGTAAATCTGCCTGACACAAACAAGAGAAGTTCGGTCTGATTTAACTTAAGACAGGGAGATTAATTGTATATGTATATACACCATAAAACAAAGTCATATGATTTTTCAAGACACAGGGACACTTCTGTCGTGGGCGTCTACAGAATATTCATCACGAGGAGTGAAAAAAGGAAATGTGATTTTCTTATGCCTAAAATAAAAAGTAAAACCTAAGCAAATGAAGCCTGTCTGACAATATCCAGAAACTAAATTCAAATCAGTATTTTCTGTCTTGTCATATTTCTCCAGGATGAAGTCAGTTAATTAGATGGTGAGTTTTATTTGACCTTTCTCTAGCTGAAAACAACCAGCAGCAGCTGTAACCGTTCACCACGTTTAAGGCCCACCCCTAGGAAATAAAGAAGGCCGCCCAGTTTTGAGTTTCAGCAGAGAGGAGAAGACGGAGAGAAAACACGGCGAACACCGGGAAGTTACGTTCTGCTGCTTCGCTTTGAGTAAATCTTCATTCTTTTGAAGTTTGAGGCAGGAGAACTTCTAGGAGAATCTGGTGAGTAACCAGATCCCCGAATCACTGGGAGAATATTCAGCTGTGTTAATGGTATGTTTTGATCGAGTCCTGACATGTTATTCACAGCAGAACAACAGGAACTTCTATTGTTGGCTTCATTTATGGTTGGGAGAAATCCACTGACAGCACCTTGCAAAACTATTCTTATCAAATTTTCCTTTTCTTTTCTTTTCTTTTTTTTTTTACTCTGCAAACACTAACTTAAATGTTCCAGTGGTTTTATGTAATAGGCCAATAAGCAGCCATTATTACAAAGTAAAAGCAAAATGATTTACGGTTTAGAATAATAATAATTCTAAATAAATAAATGAAAAAAAAAAATCAACAAAACATTTTCAAAGTAATGACCCAGTAATATCGTAATGAACTGAATGTTATGTTTTTAACGTAATCTCTGCTCAACTTGCGGGGCGCAGGCGGTTGCCACGGCAACGGGTGTACTTAAGCTCGAAAGAGGGAGTAAAAAGTCAAGTGGTTTTGAGTTGATCACCTGTTCGGGTTATTTTACATTGGTTCACCTTTGCCGTGGCGCATTACAGCCGCTGTAGTTTCTGAACGTTCAATAAACGACAAACTTGGACTAATTACCTCGGTTGTTTGCGACGTATACGTCACAATAAATATCAAATAGGACAAATATATTTCATGAAGTATTTAACAAGCAATACCGCGATAATAACTGCTCTCTGGCATCTTGCTGTGAGCTCAGAGTCTGACAGGCTTTTCCTCTTTCAAACATACCTACTGGCCCAATTTTTGCAACCAGCTTCTGACTGAGAAACCAGTAACCTCCTCCCAGTGTCAGAATCTCACTGAGGAAGAAACTGCATTAGGTTTTCTATCTCTTTTTATATGTCTGCTATAACTGATGTATATTTGAAAATAAAATAAGTTGTTTGCATAAGTTGTTTTACAATTTTTATATCTCCGTGTCATGTGGTAGATCTCAGCTGGCTGGTGACAGAAAAAGTAGATCTTGGTCTCAAAAAGTTTGGGCAGCACCTTTTCTATGTGTTCAGGAGATGGGCAGCTAACATCTCTGCAGACCCCACACATCCTGGACCTGGACACAAGCAGTTCCCTCCAGGTCAGTACGTCAGAGCGCTGTCTGCAAAAAACAACCGCCTCAGAGACGGTTTCTACCTCCAGGCTGTCTGTTCACACAGCCAGCCACAAATATTTTACTGACACAACTTCTGCTTTTTCCACTGCGAAAAGATCTTTTTATCTGTCTTTACAAGACAGATTAAAAAACTTTATTTTTACGTCTTTATTGAAAACAAAACTGAACTGTTTAGTTTTCCTTTTGAACTTTTCCTGTTTTTTCCCCCCCTAATATTCATCTTATCTCCTTCCAGACCCTGTGACACAAGAAGCAAGAACAGGTAAGAGACTGCTTGCTAAGCTTTTAACAGGATCATATTAATTTGGACAAAACTTGTTGCCTGTCCTGTGACCAGGAGTTGAATTCAGAAATATGTTTTGTCTCGTCAACAAAGAAACATGAAGTTCTGACGGAAGCTCTGAGTCTCACAGAAAACACGAAGTTACTGCAAACTTTTAACCACAATTAATGTTTACACCCAAAACTTCACTGATCCAGAACTTCTCAGCTGTAGATCATCCGATATATGCGACTTTAATTTTGCTCTTCTTATGTAGTCTTTACTGGTGGACAAATCTTAGTTTTCAAAATTTTCTAAAATCTTGTAGGAGTTGAAAGCTGCGTGATGGCAGCTGGAAGGACACAATATTTCTGACAGACCATGAATGCACCTCAGTGGAGTGATAAGAAAAGCTCTGCCAACAGGAGCAGCTGCAGTCCTACTTAATAAATCAGAACATGCAGTCTGATGAGGATCATTTCTCAGATTAACCTTTTAAAAATGTTTAACACCTTTTTAAGCAGGTGTTATACATATCTTTCATTAAGGCTGCATTTCTGTATTAAAAATATTTTTTTCATTGGTTAAATTAGATATTCTAATTTTAAATGTCATGCTTTAGTTAACTATGAGCAGAAAATTATGAAGGTTTTCAAGTATTCATTTGTGTGTAGTTAATCTATGTAGTTTCATAAAACTCCTGAAATTCATTGACTTTTCAACAATATTCTAATTTATTGAAAGGGTGTTTAGTGCTTTCTCTTTCACAACGCAAAGAGGAAATGATCCATTCACACTAGCTTAAGGATCAATCAGTTGAAATGAAGGACATTGTTCAATATTTCTATATTTTAAGGTTTTATTGGCTCTAGTGGCCTTTATTTGATAGTGAATTGACAGGAAAGTGGGTAATGCGGGAAGGGGGAAGACATGGTCGGGAATCGAACCGGCAACAGCCGCGCCACCACGGCACTCCTTGTTCAGTCAAATCTACGTGAACGTCATGGTGCATTCAGGTGTTCTGAGTTCATATCTCCAGCAGGGGGCGCATGTTAAATTCCACATCCAGCTGTACCTTCTTATCCATGGCTGCTAGACAATATGTAAGACTGTGAAAATGGTTCATCTTTCCCTTTCTTTCTAAACACGCTCAAAGTAAAGATAGCATGTGGTCATGTCTTAGTTTCTATTTGTTGCGACGTATTTGTAAACCAAACATTGTGTGTCTCCAGCTGTAAGCTATGACGTCCGTGTTCCTCCTGCTGTCCCTCCTGCTGGCTGTGGTTGATGTTCAAGGAGGATCAGAGTTCAGAATCTGTGCCTTCAACCTTCATCATTTTGGGGAATCCAAATCTAACAAGAATGACATCATGATAACTCTGGCCAGGGTGAGGACTTGGTTGTGCTGTTGCGATGTTGTTATGATAGTATAATATTTCTACACTAAGTGTCTATGTCATGTCCTTCAAGAAGATATAAAGTGCTTGAAAATAAAATGTAATACTGACATTTTCCTTGTGATTGCGGCAGTTTTATTGTAGCTTGACGTTAAATTGGATGCAGTTTGATTTTTATAAACGACACAGGATTCAAATGGAAAATGTATTTATTATAAAAAAAAAATTTTCACAGAGACCAACTTGAAAACATTTTTAGAAATGCTTTCTAAAAATGAAAACATTTTTAGAGCTTTGATGAACAAAGGTTTGTGTCAGACTTAGATGCTGTATAATTTTTCAACAGAAAATCTTGACATCTAATGATCCTCTGGTTAGCTTGGCTTTATAATTGAAAGGGATATGCTATGAAATTGCATTGATATAACGGAAATAGTCAAAAACTTAACACCGGCTTCAAGGTCAGTAGGCTAAGTGTTTACTGATTGAGAAGTAATTTTCTTAACTTCTGAACACCAATTTAGATGCAAAAATATCCAGTTGATATGTTTTTCCAGTGTTGTTTGTATTTTCTCCCTGAGCATAATGCTTTTTTTTTTTCTGTAGGTATATTTCGGTGAGGTTAGACCCTGTGAATTTGACTGTCTCGGCCTCTGGGTGACGGGTGAAGTGGGCACGGACACCCGTCAGTGTCCACACCAAGCTATAACTCTGCTGTTTCCCGTCTGTTTCAGATAATTACTCGTTGTGACGTGTGTTTGCTTCAGGAGGTCAGAGACCGTAAAGGAACAGCTATATCAAAGCTGCTCCAAACGATCAGTAGGTTAGTGAACCTGCTGGCTGACTTATTTTACTACTAATAATATTAATAATAATAGTTGGATCTGCCTTATCTGTTGGTTATTCAGATATGACACGAGAAACCAGTATAACCTTTTGGCCAGTGAGAGGCTGGGCAGGAGTGAGTCATACCAGGAGCAGTATGTGTTCGTCTACAGGTAAGCGGCGCTGCTTCATGCACCAACGTACTACAACTTGTTGTACACAGAAACATCGCTCCTTTCTTTATCTGAATGCATGCAGGACCAACACTGTGGAGGTTGCTGGTCAGTATCAGTACCCAGACAATCTGCCAGGAGATGAAGATGCTTTCTCCAGAGAACCTTTTGTTGTTCGCTTCAAAGCCCCAAAGACCTGTGAGTTTGTGTTTTTTTGTTTTAGACATTTATTACCGTACACCTTTCTTTGTCTCCATCCTTCCTTATTTTCCCTTCTGCCTGTTTCCAGCTATACAGGAGTTTGTTCTCATCCCTCAACACACCACTCCGGTTAACGCCACTAAAGAGCTGGATGCCCTGTATGACGTTCTGCAGGAAGTAAGAAAGATGTGGAAAACTGAGGTAAAGGCTAATGCCGCTCATTGCCAAAGAACGGTTTAAATCTGCTGATATCGATAAATCTCGCATGATTCTGAATGCTACACGAGCAGAACGTGATGCTTCTCGGGGACTTCAACGCCGACTGCGGCTACCTGGCCAAGAAGAACCGGGACAAAGTGCGTCTGATTACAGACAGGAACCTCCATTGGCTGATAGGAGAGAACACCGACACCACCGTGAAGCACAGCACGTCCTGCTCCTACGACAGGTGAACTGCTGGTTTAATCTGCTCACGGAACAAAACTCATCCCTTGTTTTTTTTTTTTGTTTTTGTTTAGTTTTTTTTTTTTTAGGTCAGAATGAACAAAACACCGTTATGTATCAACTAGGATGATACATAACTGTTTTGGACACAATCTGGCGAGTTTGTCTTAAGCAAGTTATCTGCCGGCATAAATTATAGACAGTTTACAATCCACACTAATTAACAAACATTTCATTTTGTGTACAGAAAATCTATAAGCACATGTGATCATACCTCTTCTGTTCACTTATGATTTTCCAACAGGATTGTCGTCCATGGAGAAAAGTTTAACAGAGCAGTTGTTCCTTCCTCTGCCCAGCCATTTAACTTCCAACAGGAGTACGAACTAACAGAAGAAAAGGTGTGGAGTTTTTTTTTTATGTAAATATATCATCCTGGCTTTACATCCACAAACAAAAGAGCAAATCTGTTTATGTATTTTGATTATGCATAGGTTGTATATACAGTAGAATGTTTTGAGCAGTATATAGAAAGCTCTGATTCTTCTCTGAAAGGCCAAAAAAATGGCAGAGCCCATACACTAAAACGTTTCTGTCATCACAAATTAAAACCTATGGGTGTTTGCTCTGTTTCTCTTTTTTTCATTCAGGCACTAAATGTGAGCGACCATTACCCAGTGGAGGTCCTGCTGAAGGTCGTCAGTTTCAAAGCCTTCAATGGAGTCACTTCCTTTAGAAACAGCTTCATTGTGTTTCATTGTTTCTGCCTTATAATCTGTCATGTGTTGTCTTAGCAAATCGACAGCAAATGTATCAAGATGTTTTATACCTCACCTCTCTATTTTATTAAACATGCTAAACATAAAAGTGAATCACATACTTGCCTCAGTAATTCAAAGAAATATTGAGCACATTCAATTTGAGTTGAACTTTAAGACCTTATGATTTCTTGTTCTAGAAAATGAAATAATGTACGTTTTTCTTTTTTCTCTCGTTTCTCTCCAACTCTTGTTTTTCTTTGGTGATGTACATTTCACTGTTTCAAAATTCCTCCATTTGTTTTTTCACTTTCATCATTTTATCCATAGAGATAAATAAATAAATAAATAAATAAATATATATATATATATATATATATATATATATATATATAATTATTATTATTTTTAAAATATTATTTTATTTTTTGCACCAAAAATACTTCAGTTCTGTAAATAAAAGTTGGATTTTCTCAGCTACTTTTTGTGAATGCATTTTCTCTTCAATGAATCCTCAGCACCTTCAGAGTAACCCTGGGATTATATCTGAATATAAAAGTACAAGATTTTAATCTTTGTGGCTGCAATGATTTTTTTTTAGACACAACTAAACAGGATAAAAGTAATTATGAAGACATTTTATGACTAATGGAAATGGAATAAAGCTTAAAAGACAAATATCTAAAACTTCTCAGCTTATGGTGATGTCAAAGAGATTTTTCTTTTTCATTGCATTGTGAGCCAGATTTCAAACACCCATCTCTATATAATATATAGAAAGTGATTTAATGTTGGGAACACATAAAGTGGCCTAACCTAACAATTTACTAAAGATTGTAGGTGGAAAAATGCAGTGTGTTATTTGGCGGTTATGAAAAATTTCTGAGTGAAAAAGACAGACATGTACAATGATCATGTCCCTCTGTAGTTGGAGGGGAACTGCGAATAATTTTTACACAGGAACCTGTGCCCAGAACCTGGGTTAACTTTGGGACCAGGTTTACCCAGGTTCTGGCCACCTGAACCAGAGCATACAGCCGTACAGCTGCAGGCGCTACTGCCTAAGCAGACCAAATCCTGCTGTTAAGGTTGTCAAAATCAAGCTAGTATAACTGACCTACTTTCTCCCTGGATATGTTTTTTAATTAAAACTTTTTACTGACATGACACCATTGGGCCTTGTTATAGAGTTGTTGTTTTTTTCTTTTATATGTCATAATTTAGGGCATTATGCCATATACTGTAATCATATTGCAGTATTTTGCAAGTACGACTTACGTGCAATATACTCTGCAGCCCTAGTTCATGTAGAAAATCCTGATATCTAAAAGCATAGCAAAGATTGTCTATCTGGAAACAGATCTAACACATAAAAACACCAGTAGGTAAAGTAACCAAGACGATTTACCAAGACTGAAGCAAATACTTTCAGACTAAATATACATTCACAAAGAGAGAGAGAGAGAGAGAGAAAATCAGTCCCCATACTGGGTTAAAAATATGACTGTTCGTACAGTATATCTTTCATTTCAAAATTAGGCATTAGTGGACCCTTCAGTTCATTTTCTCCATCTTGGAACTTGTGAATTCAGACTTAAGATCTACAAAAGTGTAGATGCTTGATCATTTAGCCTTTCACAGCTAGCTTAACTTGCCTCCAGAATAAACGCTAAACTCGGTGATCTGTTTGGTGAAACTTTATCTCCTAATTCTACATATGAAACAATCTTTAGACAGTTAAATAGTGACTGAAAGAACACACATTTTCACAGTGAAAACTTGTGTTTTGTGAATATCTAAGTAACAGGTTCCTGGAAGCCCATAATGTTCCAGTGCTGATTTGCTGATTGATTTAGACAGTTTCAGTATTCTATACAGGACAGCTGCCACTCTGCTTCTTTCCTTCTACGTTACCTCTGCAGAGCAATGGCTCTTTCTGTCTTTCAGCAATCAGTTCAGTAGAGATATTGTACAAACACGTCTATGCATTTCATGAACCCATACAAACAGACGATGAGCAGCAGGGCGTTTCCCACTACCACTAGCACCAGTGTAGTGGTCCAGAAGGCAAACAAGTACATGGTTCTGTTGCAGTACGGTGACACAGACGTGACTTGATGTGGTTGTTGTTGGGCGCTTGTCAGGTTTCCGTTTGTCCCTCTGTTTGTGATGTTGAGGATTTGAATCGTCTCCCACAAGTTCAGGCTGTGGTTGCGGCTGTGAAGGCTCTGGTTCTCTGAGGTCAGGAGGTCAGGAATGCTGATCCTCCTGGTGGAGCTGTTGGAAGCTGTGGTGGTCTTCTCATAGTTGGGTGGATATATGGAATAAACGTAGTAGCTGCCTGTGTGGGTGCAGAGAGAGCGGGCAGACAAACATACAATTGATTCATGTTCACCTTAGCAAGAAACAGAACATAGTTTGCTAGCACACAAAACACGGCATCACAGACAATCCTGGAGATTGGTTCTCAGCTGGGACTGACCAAATACAAGCCAGACAATAAACAAGAATAACAGGATGGTGAAGAAGACGACCCAGGTGCTGTGACTCTGCGCTGATGGAGAGAGGAGCTTCAGCAGGGTGATCAGGGCCATCACCAGCAGGACCAAGATCCCAAACACCATCATATAAACTGGAACAACTGGTCCTGCTGGACACTCATGTATGTAAAGTGCACCTGTTAAAAAAATACTGATGTTAAGTTTCATCATAAACTACAACCATCAAGGACTTGTCTAAGTCTGTGACACTGTGTAAGTAGAAATAGTTAAATTATGTTTTTTAGAATCCTGTCTAAATTATATCATAATCACTGGCAGAATAATACCGAGTCGAAAGCAGCTGGTGATCAAGAACAACTTTGAAATGGAAACTCTTAATCAAGGAGTCTTTCAGAGATCACAAAACTGACTGGCGGCTTCAAAGGATTTTATGGAAAAATTGGCTATAAAAGAAAGGTTTTCCACCAATACATCATGTTCATTCACAAACACATGCTGAGCATTAATGCAGTAACTGCTCAGGAAAAGCTCCCAACAAGTACAGTTTTGTTAACTAACACCAGCATGCCACGCACCTTCTGTTTATTTCTTTCACTTCATTCTGAAGCATCCTAACACCAGGGGGCGGTGTGGAGCAAAAGATTCCTGTTCGAATTAAGGCTAAAGACTTGATTTAGGAAATGAAGTCATCAGGAATAATAAAAACTAATTTAAGGTTAATAGGTTTACAGTAAATCCAAAGTTAAATCTTGTTGAGGATCATTGTCATTCGTATGGCAACACCGCATCACTCTGTCTGAAAATTAGAGTCAGTACTTCATCTCGTCAAAGTCATGATGTGCATTTTCAACAAAACGCAGGTTCAGAACAGAACCTCATCTATTGTATTAGTAACTTTGGACAAATCTCATGTTCCCACTTCCTCTTCAGTGTCGGCCTTCATTTCCTATGTTGTGTTTTCAGACCAGGACTGTTTCTGCAGTGTCAAATAAGACTGAAAGGATTCAGCTTTCTGGTCTTTAAATGTAATATTTTCACTCTTAAACCAAAAGGTGATCTTTTGTTGATGCAGCACATATAAAAACCTCTAAAGACTTTTCATTTGACCAAGGACCATTTCTAACCAATTGCATTATTTGTGGTGTGGGCCCCAGTTAGAATTACTGTGGTAGAGACTAGTGGGGATCATTAAATAACAATAATAAAAAAACCCTAGTTTGATGTGTTCCAATTTACTGTTGTTTGGTTTCAATGATAATTATATTTAAAAAGAAGAGAGTTTATTTTTTCTTTATCAAAACCGGTGTACTTTATTTGGTGTCATTGTGCAAAGGAGTGAAAATAGCAAAGCCTGTTATATTTTTATATTTTATTGTTACAATACAACTCTAAAATCTCTGTATTTCCCACTCAAACATTCCAGTATATGAAGTGATTTTTTTTCCTGCCAAGAATGGAAAGTAACGTTTCATAGTAACATCCAATGACCTACTGGTTGCCTAAAGATTTCACTTCCCAGTGCAGTTCTTCCCGGCACTGTTTGTCACTTGAAATTAGATGCAACAGAAAGGTGGCCAGTCTAGGTGTGACGACAGTGATATGCCCGAAGAATAACAAATTATGCAGACATATCCATCAGTTATAAGTTGACTAAAAAAAAAAAAAAAAAACATCCAGGGCAGGAGAAATGTGTTTGAAACAAATACAAAGTACAAATTTCAAAAGAAAATAATATCTGACTTACCCAAAGCAATCTGAACAACAGGGAGTGCAGCTAGAATGAGGAAGGCACATCCTAAATACCAGACAGGAGTTCTTGTCAGTTCATCACGTTGGTCCGTTTTTTTCCCAAGATCTTTCCAGCTCTTACCTGCTATACACACGCCAGCACCGACAACGCCGCACAGACAGTTCCCCCGAAACGTACCTGCCATTGTGTTAAACAGAATATGAAATTACTCTGGAGGTAGTAAGCTGCTTACTACAGAGATGGCAGGCAGCTTGATGTCTGCTAGAGTAAGTAACACTGTCTTCACTGACAACATGTCTCAACTCCTCAGCAGAGTGTTCAAAGAGTCTATTTCAACACTCAAGAAGAGAACCTGTAAAAGAGGACATTCCTCTGTTGCATCAGAATCACACTGTCACTGCATTACTGGAAGGCCGAACGCTGCCAGCCATCAGTCCTGATGCTGCCACTGCCAGGTGAAGCCTAAAGAGTAAATGGCAAGAAAGTTGCTCTGAAGCGACACCAACAGGACATGATTAGAAACTTGGGTATTCAGTGGTATCAAAATATGGTTATATTGATTATCTCTGTATGAGTCCCCACATGACTGAACACTGTGGTACTGCTTTCATTCATATCTCTCATTGCTGATACCCAGAGGGACCCAGGAGAGGAAGGGAGGCGCCCTGCTGCGTTAGCACTGAGTGCAGTGCTGGCTATGTCTGTGAGATTCCCCGAATTTATATTCACCTTATCAGAGATATAATCATTGAGTGAATTATAACTTTTACTAATCAGATGTTTTTTTTTCTTATTTTGACTGATCTATTATCTATTAAAAAAAACAACTAATTGTTCTGTTTTTTTCATGACTGTATGATTCACAGTTTTATTAATTTTAATGCCTACTTTGACTCTTTGGTTTCCCTTTTTATACAAAACCTGACCTATAAACATTTGTCCATCCACATCCTGGCTAGTATATATGTAGTATATATTTAGTATATGATTATGTATAGATCATATACATAATGGAACAAATGATTCATGATAAAAGTCATGATCAGTTAAGGAGCCTAATCATATGAAGGAGTTTTGAGTTCAGCTCCTGCTTCCAAAGGTTAATGACCTTTGATGAGTCGATCAACAGATGTGAGTACAAAGGGAGCTGGACTCAAATTCACTCACATTTTCTGATATAATAAAATATATGACTACCATAATTTAAGGTAAACCTATTTCTATTAGAATTAAACTTGTTGATGTGCATTTATTTATTTATTCTCTGATATGCATAAAAACTTTATTTGCCTACAGCAGTGACTCAGATAGTGGCCTGCAGATCCAGTCTATTTCTGGACTCCTTCTTCCTGTCTGCAATTTGCGTTCAGGCCAGATCCTGTCAAACCGTCGATGCAGTGTTTTAGATCCGATTTATTTATTTTCCCTCCAACCAGCACACCAATGTGCCTAATAAGGAGTAGTATCATGTAAAATCGACTTTTCACAGCTTTACATCATGTTATGTTATTCCCTCATGAAAAACATAGATGGAGTGTTGCCTTCATTCTTTCACGCATGTCTGAGGAGCTCTTTAATCTAATTTGAAGAGGCCTTTCCTCAACTACAAACAGCAAAAGGAGTTCATTTTATTTTATTTTTTTCATTTAAGCAGGTGAGTTAAAGAACAAATTCTTGCTCACAATAAATTCTCAGAGTAGAGTGGGTGTTATAGGTAAGCACAGGCAGCCTTTCATTTTTAAATCCCTAAGTTCACCTAAGAGTTGCATCCAACCAAATATTTTATTTTTATATGCTTATTGTTTAGCCTCTTTTGAATATAAGAGCTTCTGGCTTGACTGTTTATAATAATTTGAAAAGTGTCTTTGTGGACTTTCAAGATTTACAGTTCAGTATCCTTGACCTGTGAAATCAGGAATGAGACAAAAATATAGGAGTCGCACATCAAAATAGATCAGGAGTGTCCTTCTGTTCATAATGTATCATTATAAGCAGGGGGCGCTGTGGAGTCGTCCATGGTAGTTTATAATTTTGTTGGTTTAAACAAACTGATGACCAACACACAACTTCTGAGCTCCGTAAAGAGCTGCTAGCATTCAGCTAACTAAATGTAAATAGTTCTGAATCCCCTGAGTCGGTTGGACCTGCTCGGCTCTGATTGGCTGTTTATTTTCCCTTCCTGCTGCATCATGTGACCAACACAAGTAGCGGAGCTGATCCAGAGCCGACAGGCGGACCGCTGCTGGACCTGCAGGTAAAAGCTGTTCTATAACCTAGCTGCGTTTCGCTGCCGCCGCAACCAGAAACGCAGAGAGCCAACATGTCACTTATTTATTCTCTAGGACGGATTAGGATTAGGCAGAGTTTTCTATTTGCGCTTCCAGCGGGAGAAGAATCTCTAGTCAGCGATCAGATTATCACTAGGCTTCAAATCCCATAGGATCAGTTTTAGTTCTTAAAACTTTACATTTAAAATAGAACTGAAGATGGTGAATAAATAAATAGCATTTAATCTCTGACAGCATAACTTTTTAGGAGGTTGTAATAAATCTACAACATTAGAATGGACATGCAGGCAGGAACTGCGCTCAGCAAAATCTGGAATAAGATGTCAGCAGTTTTTAGGTTAGAAGGTTTCATTTGTGTGTATGTGTGTGTGTGTGTGTGTGTGTGTGTGTGTGTGTGTGTGCGTGCGTGTGTGTGTGAGAGACTGTGTGTCATTTATACGATTCATTAAGGTATTAACTACAACAACATCAGCTCTTCTAGTGAATTTGACTGCTCTTCTAGAAGTGCATTTTTGAGGACAGACACTGATGTTGGACATGGAGGCAAAATGCACAGATGTGTTTGTTTTGGCCGCTTCACCTGTGAGCTGTGAATCATGGCTGTTTATCCTTAAACATTTGAAAAAACTTACCAAGACAAGAAGACTGAGAAGAAGCAGAGCCAAGATTGTAGCTTGCAGTTCCTAGGAATTGACAAAACCTAATGTTATGTCTGTTAAGCTATTCTGTTGGTTATATTTTACACAAATCAAATGGCGCTCTAACTCGCTTTCAGCACGATTTTTATTAGCCAAATATTTATTAGGTGAATACTTTTGTTGGCCAAGTCTTTTAATTCTAACCTTGGAATCATTTGAACATTAAAAGGATTCAGAGTCAAGTGACTAAAGAAAAAAAATGGAGAAAATTAAATGTGAGAAAGCGGAAATGTGGTAAATCTGAAGAAAAAAAAAAAAAAATTTTTGTAGGGGTGCACCGATTGCAGTTTTCTGGCCGATAGCCGATTAGCGATCTTTTAAAAAGCTTAACCTGCCGATTCCGATTTTGGCCGATACCAGTAAAAATATAGGGTACTACTTTGTGTCAAATTTTAATTAATCGAGTTTGATGGATTAAAATGCCACGCCCAAATCAAAATCGATGTTATCGCGCACAAACATCTGTTTAATTGCGTCATAAAATGCTTATCGTATAAAAACATATGTTTTGATTTAAATTAATTTCTTATGAATAATAAAACAGACAGGATTCTGGAACCTTCTCTCTTAAATCAATTGGTTAATAAGGGGTCAGGCCCTCTTTGTGACTTTTGACCCAGTTATACCAATGCAACTCCTCCTCACGCAGATAGACTCCACCCCCAACTGCTTTTATCTTCCTGCTCCTGGCAGATGCCCCAGCCCACTTTTATGAGCTTCTGTTTGAATCAGCCAATAGAGATAAAGGGGTGGGATTTCTGTTTTTCTGCTTTAAATAATTTTCGGAGGCCCTGTCATTCTACTTGTTGCATTTGGTAGAGGAAGATCCACTTTGCTCTGACAGAAAACAAACAAACAAACAAAAAAATGGTTCACATTAAAAGAGAAAAGCCTCAAAAGAGAAGACATCAGGAAACCAATAGACTAGCATGTGGCTCATCTGCAGATGGACAAACCATCACGAGACCCTGCTCCATCGCTGATGCTTCATCCTCTATACTCCTGAATAGAAATCTGATCTTACCTCCATCAGCATTCGAATCCTCAATTCAGCACGAGATTCCCACCTTCCAGGACTCCGAGCATCCTCCGCCTAATTTCTCTGGATCACCCCCTGCGTCTTCTGAAGCTCCTTCATCCAGTGTGGGAAAAACCAAGACTTCTCTGTGAGACTCCAAGCTCGGTTTATTAAATTCCAGTCCATAAATTGGATGCTTCCCAGAAGTCCACCTTTTTTTTTTGTGCAAGAGAAAACCTGAAGACAAAAGGCAACAGATTGTGAAGTGAGGTGGAGAAGCTAGTCTGCTAACATCTGACTCAACTGCTTGAAGCTCCAAAACATCCAATGGGAATCCCACCACCAGACCCGGCTCCATCCATCACCCCAAGAAGTAAATCATGACAGTTGGACAAAGTTTCCTCTCTATTTTTATATATATATATATATTGCTTCATTCATATAAATTTAATCAAATAAAGAACTTTTATCTCCACCTCCAAGCCTGAATCAACTCTTAATTTCTTCATCCCAATCAAGGCTGATGAAGAAATTAAGGTCAAGGAAATTACAGTCACTAGGTAGTCAATAGTTAAGCATTTAATAAATCATGTTAATTTTTATATTAATTTCAAATCATAATAAAAAACAGAATAATTTATTTCATAAACAAAAATGTATCTGTGTTTAACTTCCTCACCGTTTCTTTCTCTGTGCTGCTCTCAGCTGGTATCTGATGAACCGTCCTCCACTCTGTCACTTCAGCCAACCGACTTGCCTCGGGGTGAATGAAGGTCCACATCAATTTTGAGTCACTATCTACCAAATTGTCAAGTATTTTATTGACTAATATTTTGTTTTTATAGTAAATTTTTAAAAAGTTACAATTTAAATAAAAAGAGAATGGGTTAATTTTGTGGACAACTGATCCATATGTTTAACTTTGAGAGCTTTTCTTTCTCTGTGCAGCTCCAGCTGCTGAGCTCAGCCTGCATCAGATAAACCAACAGCCCCTCTGCAACGGTCACTTTACCCCAGCTAGGGATGGGAAATAGTAAAAGTCAAAGATATGTGGAACCAGTAAACTGTCAACCATCAATACATTTTAGAATAATAATAAGACAAGCATACTGTTAGATGCTGTTACAAAACATGTTTTTATACGATAAGCATTTTATGACGCAGATTTAACAGGTGTTTGTGTGCGATAAGCATTTTATGACGCAAATAAACAGATGTTTGTGTGCGATAAGCATTTTATGACGTAAATAAACAGATGTTTGTGTGCGATAACATCGATTTTGATTTGGGCGTGGCATTTTAATCCATCAAACTCGATTAATTAAAATTTGACACAAAGTAGTACCCTATATTTTTACCAGTTTTTTTTTTTTGTCTGAAATTTTGCTCAATATGGCAAGAATATAGTTGAGTTGGCAGCAGTGGGGTCACTATTGTTAATTATAAACGTGCAGACATAACTTGGTGGGCTGGTCTGTCAGTCAAACCTCTCACCGGAGAACAGGAGAGGACAGAGGCTGATTCTTACCCATTTGCCGAGCTAGATAAGATCAGTATATAAGATCGGCTTCGTATGTAAAAATCAGCCGATCACCGATCTCCCAAAATTAAGGAAATCTGCACCGATAAATCGGCTGGCCGATAAGTCAGTGCACCACTAATTTTTTGTTATTCAGCTCAAACTTATTGACATCTACAAAAAAGTTTAACAACTAGAGGTGACCATTTTCACACTTTTGTTCATCTGAATGTAATAAAAACGTAGAATGATGAATGAAGCGCAGCTGCAGCTGTAGAGTCGGCATGCAGTTGGTCCTGGTTGTTGATCTCGCCATGCTGTTTGTTAGGAAGCATGTCTGTTGGGAAGCTGGAAGAGTGCCGGGAGCACATCCGGGCGCAGCTGGACGCTGTCGTGGAATTCTGGCTCAAATATTCCCACGACACAGTACACGGGTACCGTAGCTACACATCTGCTCTACTCCTGGTCATAGTGCATTCAGTTATGGTCTCTGTGTTTCATTTCCTGTTTCAGAGGCTTCTTCACTTGCATTGGGAGGGACGGTAATGTTTATGATGAGCTGAAGTATGTGTGGCTGCAGGGAAGACAGGTCAGTCTCTGCAATGGATGTTTCAATATGTTCTCCTCTCAGTGGACTTTCTTCCAGACTTAACATCTGGAATTTTTGTTTTTTTTTTTGTTCTAGGTATGGATGTACTGCCGTCTCTACCGTAGCGTGGATCGCTTCCGCAGGCCTGACATCCTGGAAGCAGCAAAGGCCGGTAAGTTTGAGGCTCCTGTTAGTCAAAACATTTGAAACTTTAAAACTAAAGTTGGTGGTTTGTTCTGATGTTAGGATAAACACACACACCTCTTGGTGTGATGAAGCTTTTTGTCCCATTTTGGGCCGGGGTCTGTGACCAATCTAGTTCAGGGGTTCTGTTTGTTCTGAGCTGCTTTCTGATAACCTCCCGCAGGACAAAGCTGGTAGGAATTTACAGTCCAACAGTAAGCAGCTACCTGTCATGTGCCTCAGCCAATAATTGACCAGAATTAGATTGCTTTCTTTGTCCAAGCTCTCACCTCAACAACAGCATTCGTCCCTTTTTCTTAAAACATTTAGGAAGACAGCCAATGTCAGAGCGTTACCAATCTGTTTTAAATTCACTTTATCTGTTTAGTTTGCAATAAATGGTGTCAAAAGGCAACCTTGGCTCTATGTGATTATGTCTGAAAAAGGCGTTTGATTTTTGGTGCGTCAAATCATAAACCACACTGATCTGTTTGCTTCGTAGGCGGAGAATTCCTCAGAAAGTTTGCACGTGTGTCCACCAATGGAAATCAGTGGAAATGTGCCTTTTGCTTAACAAGAGATGGCAAAGCTGTCAAGGTTCAGAGGACCATATTCAGTGAGTGTTTCTATATAATGGCCATGGACGAACTGAGCAGGGTCACTGGTGACAAAGAAATGCAGGTAGGAATAAATCTGTCAACTTGGATTATTGATGGACTTTGACTTATTTACATTTTGTCTTAAATTTCTAGGTCCGTAGCTAAATGATGCTTCAACGCTGTTTAGCTAACAGGGATTGTGAAAAAAAAAAAAAAAACATAGCAAAATAAATCTTTAAAATTCTGCTGTTATGTCAATGAAATTTTTGCCATTAATAATTGTGAAGTGCATAAACAATATTTCTTGTTTATGCACTTCTTAAATAATTTTTTAAAAACTGGCACGCCTTCTAGATTGTGGTGCTATCTTTTGAGAGCTCCCATCCCATTTCCAATCAGCAATACATTTTTTGGTTGTTTGAGAATAATTGTAAATGTAAATCTTTCAGAATCATAATTCAGGGCTAAACTGTAGATCCATCAGTCCCATAGACACACACAGTCAGCTGCTGCTTAGGCTCCTTAAGCCACCAGAGGGCGCCCCTGCTGCTGGCTGCTGAAATAAACTTGCTAAACTTGTTTACTGTAACTGTCGTGTTTATTAGCTGATGTTATGTTCAAGTAGTTAAAACAACATGGTACCTTTAAACACCATTTATTTGGAGGCACATTCCTGATGGTTCTCACACAGTGTGTGTGTGTGTGTGTGTGTGTGTGTGTGTGTGCGCGCGCGCGCGCGCCCGTGCTCCGTTGTGGTGCGGTTCAGCTGGAGGCCGAGCAGATGATGGAGCAGCTGATCTACTGGGTCCGGGAGGACGCGTCGGGTCTGGGAAGGCCCCAGCTACCAGGGGACGTACCGACTAACAACATGGCGGTTCCCATGATGCTGCTGTGCCTGGTCCAGCAGCTGTCTGAAGGCCGGCCGGAGGCGGGGAAGAAGTACGCAGAACTGGGAAGTTGGTGTGTGACTGAGATTCAGCAACATATCCAGGTGTGTGTCCAGTGAACACGTTTTTCATGTAAATATGGCAAAATTAACATATAGATGTAGGATAATTCTGGTGTATTAATTGCTGAAAAGAGAAAATTTTCAACATTTATTAGAAGTCTACATATAGACTTCTTTCAGAATTTAAACTTTTTTTTTTTAAATTGGCATCTTATTTACTATTTTAAGCAATTTTACAAGTTTATCTTCTTATGTACTGATAGTAAACAATATCTTATAATATTTACCATCATTTCTTCAATTTTTGCCACAGAAATTCAGATGATTAGACCATGTTTTGATGATATTACTTCTTTACCACAACTGGAAAATACATGTATAAATACATGAGAATATATTTGTTCATGTTTAATCAAATGATTTCTGTTTCTGCTTTCTTGCACTTTAAAATAACTGTTTTTTGGACCTCAGGTGTTGTTTCCTTAGTCTAAATTTATGAAGTCATATAGGTCTAAATTATGGCTAATGAGGTTTGCGTAAAACTTTCATGTTGAACTCAGATCTATTGGTCACATAACAAACGAAAAGTTATATATGCTTAATAATTTGCTTTGAGATTATTCTAATATAATATATGATTGTTAAGTCTTGCAAGAATGTGCAAGAATCATTTATTTAAAAAAAAAAAAAAAGAAATAAAAGCATCGTCTAAAAAGTTGTTTTATACAAGGACCAGACTGAAAGTGGGAGGAATCAGCTGGAGTTAAAGAAAAGATCTGCAGGAAGCCTGACGGTTTACAGACCACAGTAAAATCTGGCTGCTTGGGAAAAGTAATGAGGGTCGACTGACTTTGCACATAAGAGTGTGCTTTTTATTTTACATTAGGTTAGTTACTATTAATTCTGGATTACAATAAGGTTGAAGCCTTCTGTTGTTCTATTGTGTGTAATCTGGCACAGAGAGACGGGACAGCGATCCTAGAGAACGTGTCTGCGACCGGAGCAGAGCTGCCTGGATGTCTGGGCCGGCTGCAGAACCCAGGTGACACTCAGTGTTAGTGAATGTTGAAGCATAAGGTTAATTATCAGGGGGTTGTAATATAAGAGGAGTCAGATTTAAAAAAACAAAACAATGTATTACAACAACCAAAATGAGTTTTGTATATCAGTGTGTGGCGTCGATTTATGGAATTGATGAAATGATTAGCTTAAATAAAGTACAAATACAAACCAGCTTCAAAAAAACTGTTCAAAAAGGAGCTTAATGGGAACATGTTGCATAGGATGGGTGTCTCAAAGACCAAAAATTATGTTGGTTTTAAAAATTTATAAATAATTGCACATTTATGAATGAGGATGTGAGGTCCAAGTGTGGGAATAATTGAAGAGTTTATCTGGTGTGGAGAGACTGAAATGTCTGTAGGTCGATGAAGCTGTGTGAAGCTGACACCCCACCCACGTCAAAAAATTCAGCAAATAGTCTGAATGGTTAGTATGAGGGTCAGGAAATCACAAGGTCTTGTGTCTTCTACCTGCTCCTTTTCAAACAAGTTATGTTAAATTGCACGCAGTGGGCATGATCATTTGTCATTTGCCTTTTGTCAGTTTGAAATAAGTTTCCTGGTTTCCAGCTGCTTGCTCAGCAGCCTCCTCTACTGTGTCTCTTGTGCCGACTCAGGCCATGCCCTGGAAGCAGGCTGGTTCCTGCTGCGGTATGCTGCCGACAACAAGGAGCTCCAGAAAACTGCTATTGAAAAGTTTGTGGAGCTTCCTTTTGAGAGTGGCTGGGATAAAGCCCATGGTGGCCTCTTCTACTTCCTGGATGTGGACGGTCACTGCCCTACTCAGGTCTGTGTGCACGCAGAAACTGCATATGAAGGTCCGTGTCCGTAGAGGCGCCAGATTGGACTGTGTGTTTGTGTGAGCAGCTGGAGTGGAGCATGAAGCTGTGGTGGCCTCACAGCGAGGCGCTCGTTGCCTTCCTCATGGCCTACAGTCAGACCAGAAGCCCTGAGCTGCTGGAGAACTTCTTCAGGGTCTACGAGTACACCTTCAGTCATGTGAGTGAACCCCCACAGGGGAAGCAGCCGTAACAACAAAACCCTTTTATTTCTAATTCTGCAAGCCATATCAGACCTAAAGAACTCTATCACCATCTTTAGAACCAAAGCGGACTTTATATTTTAGGAATTTCTAGATGATACGACCCACTAAACTATTTTTTTTTCTCCCACTTTAAAGAATCTGAAGTGTGCTTTTTTTTCTTCGTCTTAGATGTTAGATGTTGATTTTTAAAGTACATTTTCTCTTTGCCAACATGAGGATAAGAGTACGACTGTTACCAGAAGCTAAAATTACCACCATGGCCGGTGGGCTTCGGAAACTAGTGAAGCTCACCAAATAAAACCTTTACAAAACAAACTGAAACAGATCTTATAAAGTCTGCTAAATACTAACAAATTGTACACTGCAATAGATCTACATATGCAGGAATATTTAAGATGAGCAGCTGAAGCCTGTAGTGCTGTAGATCTGGACTGCATTGGTCTTGTGATATTTAGAGGTAGAAGACATAGAATATGAACAGCTTTCCCCGTTAGATTCCCTTTTCTTCCACTTTGTTTAATCCATGTTGTGTAAAAACATGTAAGGACACAGCTAGTTTCCCTTCTGAAGGGTTTGTCCTCTAAAAATCCTGGAATAAAACTGTCTTTTTATAGCGGGTTGGTCCATGTTGACTTTGTCAGAGGCAGTTTTATGGATCATGTATCATTTGGGATGGTGTTTAAGAAAAAAAAACAAAAAACTATTTGACCAATTCTTATTAGAAACATTTTTAACCGCTTGTTACATTTTGCATAAAAAACTCAAAACCAAACTAAATGATCTGTATTCAAGGATCAGAGTAAGACGAGATAAACAGCACCACCATGTGGTTCAACTGGAAAATAACACATTTAGCTGCAGGGATTAGATAACCGAGCTGATTTGTTGGCAATAAGCAGTACTTGTAGAGATGTGACTATGAACTCCTCACATTAGAGAACATAAGATATTGTTCATATTCTTATTGTGATAATCTAAAGTTACATTTATTTAGAAAAGAAATTTCAGTTCAACTCCAATTCACAATGAATGTTTCTAATCACTTCTAAGGCACCCAATTTATGTACAGAAATATATTTAACTTAATTCAATCGTACATATTCCAAGTCTATTCCAGTTCATTACTGGCTTTAGAAAATGTCCTGCTAATCCTGGCTATAATACAAGAATCAGATTTTTAAGTCTTTTACCAAGTTTGGATGATTAAATTTACAGTTTTAACTTAATACACTTCAGCCAGGAAACTAATCTGATCTCCCAAACTGCATACTGATAATACTAAGTATAAAGCTTAATTTCACCCAAAAGTTCTAAGAGTAAGGATCATCAAGAGCATACTATAGTTTTTGCTGCATTGGGATTTTCTTTTACCTTTACTGTCCAATCATTTTGGGTTAGCAGATAACTCCATAACTGTAGAAACTCACAACTTGTCTTCTAATGGTGAATCAGTTCACTGGTTTTTCTTACCTCTGAAACCGTTTTAAAACTTTGATTTTGAATGTACAGCAAACTGACTCTCCACCCACTGGGGTGTTTCTGTCTGTGTCCAGTTTCCTGACTCTGAGAGCGGTGAGTGGTTTGGCTATCTGACCCAAGAAGGGAAAGTAGCTTTGGATTTTAAAGGAGGACCCTTTAAAGGTAAGCAGAAAACCCACGACATGCAAAGTCACATGTGCTGCTTAAAATACTGAGATCAGTCAGACAAGACAGTTTCCTTCTGAACATGTATTAAACACAGTATTAGTGGGTTCGGGTTTGCTGCCACTTTAATTTAAAATTGTATTAATGTGCAGGCAGTTGGCGTCACACCTCACATTTGCATAGTGGTAGTTATGGATCTGGCAAATTATAGCCCAATAACCTGAGAGCATTGTAAACCTGTTGGTGAGTAAAAATCTAGTCAGTCCATTTCTGTACTGGAAGTACAGGTTAGAGCAGTGGGATGAAAGACACCAATTATGCATCTGTAAGGACACTCAGAGGGGACCCGGAAATTCAACCACACAGGAGTATACAAAAGGGAAAAAAAAAAAAGTTCCACAACACCCAGGGACTTTGTCGATGATAAGGCAGAGGTCATACACAGGAGGACAGAGAGAGCAAACTTAGCTTTGAGGGGCAGGCGATAATCGGTGGTCGTGAGGCAGAGCTTGGGTCAGGGCCCAGAAATATAGAATAGAAGGGATCCGTGAAGGGCTTGGCAGGAGGGGTAAATCCGTGGTCAGAAGGGGGGGGTCGAAGAAACACTGAAGGCTTGGAAGGAAACGCTGGATCTCTACTGGCTCGTGGTTGTTGATAATCTGGCAAGGAAGCAGAGGCTGAGGGGTGTTTAAGTAGGGCAAGGCCCAGGTGGAACAGGTAAGCAATCAGGCGTGGCAGGTGAGCTGAATGAGTGCTTAACACAGCATGGACAGGACAGGAATCATAACAGGATCAGTGGGGCAGTTTTTATTTCAATTCCCTTCAGTTTAATTAAAAGAAAATATTAATCCAGAGAAATGAAACGTTATTGTAGCTCATTTCATACAAATTTCTTAAAGGAGTTGCAGCTTTTCTTGACACAGTGCCTCCCAGTCTTTACTCAGATCAACTCTGCAGAAGCTTTTCAGCTGTCTTCTGACGTTTTGCTTTTATTACAGGTTGCCTCTAAACTCGGGGGTTTTATTAAAAACAGAAAAATACAAGATTATTATGTACCGTGTTTGATTTTAGGGCTTCTGCACCTTGAAAAGATAGATTAGAGTTACACCAGCAGCCTGTGCCCACATTCAATATAAGCTTTGCTCTTTTACTTGGGATTATGTTGCTGTGTGGACAGGAACTCACAGGGAAGAACAAACCACACTGTGGAAACACAACCATTTTTACAGAAAAAAAACTCAGCTGCCCTGAAAGTGGAAATTAGAAGTGTCTTAAGGCAAATACAGAAAGGTTAAATAGTGAGTCGATCAAGAATGAATCAAAATGCATTTTGATTATTATTTTATTAAGATATCAAGCAAAGAAAATTAGCAATGACTCCCCTGGCTAGTCCAGGGAAGTAAGGCAAGAAAAAGAGAGACATCACTATTAAATCCACAGACTTCCCCTGAAAAGGGAGTTTTCCAAAACAGTTTTGGTTTATCTTGGAGCTCAGGAATGTTCATCTTCGGTTGTATCTGGAGATCTCCGGCCCTGAACAGTTCAGGATGGGTTCATCAGGAGCTCAGAAATACCCTGTATTATGTGTTTCCAGCGAGCTGCCTCCATCCTGAAGGATGCTGTTTCAAACCGGATTTCTGATTCTAGAAAACCAAACTGGTTAATGTTTTTTTTTTAAACCAGTTAAGAACATTTTCTTTCACATTATAATCTGTGTGTCGTCTCCTCTCCAGGCTTCTTCCATGTACCTCGCTGCCTTTACATGTGTGAGAGCCTCTTGGATGATCTGCTGGGAAAACATGGCTGAATATTCAGACATCAGTGTTCAGAGAAAAGGAACTCATCTGACTTGTAGTCCAGAGTTCTGACTCAAGGCACACACACACACAAAATTGAAATTGGTCAATATTTTACATGTCTGTGTGAAATCAAAAAGAGCTACAGAAACATGATCTACACTGTGAATTTAGGGTAAGATTCTTTTAGTACTTTGTTGCTTGGCTAAATTAACTTCCAAACACATCCATGATGGACGACGGGTACATGGTAGACATTTGTTGTTTGTGTCACTACTGCAGCTGCTATATGTTTTTTTTTATGGAATTAATACTGTTTTTGATTGAAAAGATGACTATCGAAGTGAAGACCTCCATCATCAGAACTCTTTTGTTAAAACGTGCCTTGTTCTTTAAATGGTTTTATCTTTCCAACCTTCTCATCCTGCGTGTTAGTGGCAGTTTTGGATTGACATGTCTTTTACGATCCGAAAAATATGAAATAAAATCTCGCGTTTCAGTGTTGTCCAACCGCTCATTGATTATGAATTTCCAAATGTCAAATATTTTAATCACTGAATGAAGGTTTTTTTCAGTAGTGACACCAAATGCAAAGACTAAAGCTGTCGATATATACTGAGGATTTTGATTACTAGAAGAAGGAACAGATGGGTTGCAGATGTGAAGGGAGAGAACAGACTGCAGTCTGAGGAGAGAGAGAGAGAAAGTGGCACAGGGGGCGAGGGAGCGTATACAAGGGACTAGGAAATGAATCTAACACTAAAGAATAACTAGACATAAGGAACATAGTAAAATTAGAGTACTAGATACCAGGAATAAATATTATGAACTAGAACCAGTAAGAAGGATTGAAGCAAAGAAAACCAGAAACACAGCTGATCTAATCAAAGAAAGACTAAGGAGGACAGAATAAAAATGGAAGGAGAATCAATAAATCAAACCCTAAAACAATCCAAGATCCTGACAAAAGCAGTTATGATTAACTGCATATTAATATGCCAGGCATATTAATACTCGTGAGATATTTCTGTGCATTCATTTGTTCATGTTGGGTTAATATTCAGAATTGTGAACATGGATAAATTGTTGTTTCATTTTAGAAGCAATGTGTGTGGTAAAAGTTGAACATATGGTGTTACTCTTACCTATTTGGTCACATCTCCGGAATGCTTTCTGCTATAAAAAAGGTAAACATAGACTATTGAAAAGAGTACAATCTATTTTACTTAACAGCTATTCAGCTAAGACACAGACACAGCAAAATGCTCCTTTGACGCGTGTGTGTTCTTAGTGTTGAGGCAGTGTGAAGGAGAATAGGACTGGGACAATGGACTAAGACAAACACCGAAACAAGAAGTTATGCCCTACCTGTTTCACCAAGCCTGGAGTAACATGGATCAAATTTCATTTGCAACTTTTCTGTGACAGTCTACCCTTCAGACAGACAGATTGTTGGTAGATTTTACACTGATACAATTATTATGAAATTGAACATATATATATTTTTTTACATTAACAAAATTAAATCAGTTATCACTTGCTACAGTTCATGACTTGCTGCTTACGAGTCCTATTACTTAATGACATACTAATCCTACCATTGCATTATGTGTAAACTGTAGTGAGACATTATCCATTCATAAATATTCACCCTTTACAGTGACTGACCTCACTGAACAGAGGTCCTGCTTGACGATGCTGGCAGTGTCAATGTTGGTGAAAACCTGACTGCTTAAATTCTATTACTTTGTACTAATTAGGTAAATAAGTAAGTCTCCTCCATTTTACAAATTATCTACTTAGCAATGTGATGCACATTCTTTTCCTTTACCACTTTGCAGTCACTTGGTTAATAAAAATGTATCTAAGAGAAAAAAATGTAATGTGTTTCTCAGCACATTTAGGTATTTCTCACTATAATAACACCCAAATAATCATCATAGTCATTTCAACAAGTTTAAATATACTGTTGATCACACTAATATACAATGGATTTACAGATGTACCGTCTAAGTATACGCATAGACTACTATAAAGCTCAGATGACATAAACCTGAGTATTTATGTCATCTGCAGAAATACTGTGGTGATGCAAACGTTCCTCCAGTATTTCTTTTAAAAGATGTAAAAGTTCCATGGAATTTTGTTTATAAAATATTATTCTGCAGGTGTAACTTTGTGAAAGTTTGGAAACATCTACAGATGACCAAGCGATAATTCCAACGGAAGTTAAACTAAAAATAACATGCTAAACTTTTTTTTATTTATTTATTTATTTATTTATTTATTTATTTATTTATTTATTTATTTATTTATTTATTTATCTTTTTACCTCAAGGGGGCAATAGTTCAAAAAAGTCATTGCCATTTCTCAATTTAATTAAATTATAAATAAAGTATTTCAGTCCCGAATGCGAATGAAATGAAACGTGGAAATTCTTCATTCAGTTCATGTGGAAAAAAAGAAGAAAGAAGACTAAAAACGCAAAACAAATCATCCTAAAACTCCAGCCTGCAGGTGGCAGCAACACGGCAGCTAACTGCTCGCCTGGTTAAGGTAGTAGAAGAAAAGGAGGAACCTCAACAATTCAGTTAACTGTGTATTGGAAGAAAAGCCATCGGTGTTTGTTCAGATATAAGCTGTAAAGTGTCGATGAACGGGTATTTTTGATACGTCAGTGATGGATACCGTCATTAGGTGTGCTGACCTGTGATCCGCACCAAGCAGAAAGCAGGAATTAGCCTGTTCCCTGAGGCTTGCTCCTTCATTGTAAACCAGGTTTTATCAATTTAGGAGAGCGACATGGACAGGTATGTTGGAGACAACTCTTTTGCTGTTCAGTGAAAAATAAAATAACGGAAACGAAATGGCAGGAAAGAGCATTGATTTGCTCTTTTACATCATTAAAATGGCACTCAGACAGATTTAAACTTGATTAAGGGCTGATTCTTTTATAAAGTGCTAAATTATTAAGGACAAATTGAACTCTTGAAGTGAGTATTTTGAAATTGTTTCTGCCGAATCTTCATTTTAACATTAAATAACTTGCTGTCATTCATGTTACGTTCTATAATGAATTATTTCAGTTGAATGCATTGTATGAATGTGTAACACCATTTTGCATTGCCATGGCATGTATCGCATAAAGAGCCTGTGAAACCATCACAGGCATGAGATGTTCTCGAGAACTCTGGAACAAGAAACAGATCCTGAAGGTTTCTCAGAAATCCCACATATTCCATCGCCCACATCTCAGAGAAAAGCTAATAAATTAATTTACACATGTATTTAATCACAGTGAGATTTTCTAAAGCTCAAAATCTACTCCTTTGGCTGCAGTTTGCCTTTACAACAATGCTTTTTAGTTGATCCGCTGATTAGAGAAGCAACAATAACTGCTGAACAGTAGAATGTTTCTTTTAGTTTAAAATATGTAGTTTTGATATTTCTGTTGTCTTTCCTCATGTGTCCGTGCTTTTTTGTGGGTAGGAGCAGTGTCCTCTACCAGGTAATGCCTGCTATTGGAGCCGATGGGAAGGATATTATGAAGCTGATTCCTGTCCAGCGGAGCAACGGGCAGCCTCCCCCGACCCAGCAGGACGTCGGACAGTCCTACTTGAGTCAGACACATGTCCAGGTAATCAATGGACAGTCGTTCCCCACTCAGACGCCCATCCTGAGAACCACCGGACTGTCTCACCCGACCCTGACGCCTGTTCAGTTACTCAATGCACAGTTCTTCCCCACTCAGATCCCTGTCCAGTCTTTTCCCATCCAGACACCTGTCCAGATAATTAATGGACAGTCCACCCCGGTGCAAATGCCTTCCCAGAGGACCGATGGACAGTCCTACCTGACTACGGCTTCTCAGAAAGTCTTTACAGTGTTTAAACCCCTGCTTCAGAGCGCCTCTCCGCCGTTTGTTTCTCCGCTGAATGTGTTGGATGGTCAAATGGACTCCTTACAAACCCAAAGTCCTCAGCAGACTGGATCCCCTTCAGTAGGAGGCTCCAGTGAGATTCCAGCATCAGAGACATCTCCAGCACTCTGCAAGTCAGAAGTCCCAAATTTCTTTACTGAAGCACATATCCCGAGTGTTTCCGTATCCAAGCATCAGCCAGGCATCAAGGATCAGACATTTTCTCCCTCTGCAAGTTTCTCTGCCAAATGCAGCTCCCCCATTGTGATCTACGTGTCACCAGACATCACGGAGAACCCAGAGGTATCCCAAACCATTGGCTCTGCGGCCGACAAGCTGAGAGAACTGGCAGTGATGGTAAACGCTTGTGATTCGCTGTGCAAGAGTGCAGGATCAGAACCGTTCACCTGTGACGCACCTTTAAAGAGAGGACCAGCACCAAGGTTAAAACTGATTCCAAAGGCGTCGGGGAGACCTAACAGCCCAACCCGGTGGATCATAGAGGAGATGGGTAGCCGGTTAGCCATAGACCCCTCCTTAGAGTCGCCTTCTTCTGAATCTGCCCATTTCTCCAAGAAGTATGGCATTCCCAATCAAACCCTGCTGGAAAATCCGAATCCTTGGGTGATGTATGATGGAAGGATGTTTTATGGAACCAAAGCGGGCCACTCGTCTTCTAAACCCCCCACAGCCACACAGTCACTTCCTCCATCTTCAGTTTCATCTTCACAACAGCCAGTCGGGTCAGCGGGCTCGCTAACAAACGAAGTGATTGATCTTTGTGACGACGACTGCTCTCCGTCCTCCAACATGTCCTCCATTTGCTGTGAAGAGGAAGACCATGTGATCTTTGTGTCTTATGTTCCACCTAAATCCAAGCCTGGCTCTGGTCTGAAGGATGGGTTGGGAAGTGGAAGCTCCAGCAGCAGGACTAATGCTACGGCTGGAAGAGACACAGGTCAGGTCCAGAGCCCCTCCTTCAGCCTCGATGGTTCTGGTCCAGCAGAGCTGGTCATAGTTGAGGGTTTAAACCCAAAGTGTCTGATAGGAATGACTGAGCAGTGTCCAGATAATCTGGAGATGGACACTGAGACGGGACGCTCAGGGAGTCCCAGGAAGGAAGAACATCCTGTACAGGTGAGGTCGCTTCTGATCATGTAGCTGTCTTGATCCCAGTGGATCCTTTAAGATCCAGAAAACATTTGGAAATGCTGACCTGATAGTGGCTCGCTGCATTTGTTGTCTTCAGTTTAGAGTAGGGGGCTTAGAAGATGGCTTCCTATTGAAGCTTCTGATTCAAGACACAGGTAAAGGACTATTCCACCTCATTTATCGCTGCCTGAAGAGTCTTTAATCTGCTGTAGTCTAAAAACAACAAAACTTAGACTCTTTACACTACTTTATTCTGTACTAGTAACAAAATTGTGTAAAGCCAGTTTGTAGTTTGTAAAACCTTTATTTAATGTGTGAGAGTTTAATAAAGGGCAATTTAGTGCAATTTTGCACCTGGACTGCATTAGAGATGGTACATCTCAGAAATCACAATACTTTGTACTGAACAGCAGATTATAGACTCTCAAGGTACCAAAACCTTAGGTGGAATTTATCTTATGTCGTTTCCTGAATCAGAAGCCAACTTCAGCCTGATGGGGTCAGATTGGGGTCTGCAACCATTACAATCCAAAAAGCCATTTTTCCCATTAGTTCAGCTAAATAAAATGGGCACAGAGCCACGAACCTCCTTATAGTTTCTGATAAATTATCTACTACAAAAAATTTGTTGTAATTTTTAAAGAGCAACTATTTTTAAGTTTTAAGATAAACACAAATGGCAACAAGAGGGAAATAAATATTGGTTAATATCAACCTGTTACCAGTTTCAGGTTATCAACAGAAGTTTCTTGATTGATTCCAAAAGAAAACTAAGGCGTTGTAAGATTGTTCCTAATTTATGCATAAAAGCAATTATCTTCAAGCACATGCCTGATGCTTACTGAACTCAGAGGCACCACAGAGCATGCTGTCTGATTTAATAAAGTGCTGATCACTTGGGAACCTCATTAAGGGGAAAGTGGCTGATTGACTATAGGGTTACTAATTCACTGAAATGTTCCTGCTGTTGCCATACCGACAATCCTGAGCTGGACTGTTCTCGGCCAGAGCTGCTTTGGTTGATGTTAACCAGAGTAGAAATCTTGCGATTTATCACCGTTGTGTGTTTGAAAGACTCTGGAATAAGTTTTGCTTTCGGGCTGCTGTGCAGGAAGAAACAAATCAGGATCAGATGCCTGGGGCGGCCATATTGAAATGGGAACGTTGGTTCCAAGTGTTCCTGTGAAAACCTGATCACCAGCCAGACCATGCATAACAGAAAGACGAATAATTAATCAGAGCCTCAGCAAGACTTGTAACAAGTCTTGGCTTGTGCTTCCCAGAGGCAGTTTTCTCTTGTTTTCAAATATGAATCATAATATTCATCTCTATGTCCTTCTCTATCCAACCCAGCAGATTTCTCCGTTAAGTCTTTTTTTTTTTCCTTTGTATTTGTCTTATTTTCATTTGCCAGTTTGGTAATATGTCTGCTCAAAGAAATGTCTGATGGAATAACTTAAAAGAAAAGGCAGAAAGTGTATTCATTGATATGTTGGATGTGTTAGTAGTTCATAACCGATGCCTTGTTGAATAATTGCTTTGTTTTTTCCAACCTGCAGAACTCTGAACTTCCTGTTCCTGTGGGGACATCTTCAACAGCACCAGAACCCTGTCAAAAATCCGACCACCAGCTCAGAAACATATTTGGGATTACAGCTGATGTAAAAATTTGCCTTCAAAAGATTGATGAAATGCCACATTGGTGCGTCTCAGCAAACGTGGTACAAGCAAAGTCCCAAGGTGCAGTGGACGGGGATGACCCGTCGAGAGACGTTCTAAAAGCCAAAGAGGTTTCTCTGCGCGACTTTCCCAGTCCAGATAAACTGGACATTAGCGTCCAGACTGAACGGGAGCACTCACCGTCTCCTCAGTCCAGAACTCTGAGAAGTCCATGTGTCTCAAAGGAGAACTGCTGTTCCTTTTCACCTCAGACCAAGCCTGTGTTCAGCTACGTCGAACCCATTGATGAGGACTTCCCCGACGAAAACGACCTTCCCCAGTTACAGCAGGACACGCCTGTCCATCCTCAGACGCAGACATGTGTGGAAGTCAACGCGAACACTAGGAGAATGGGGCGGACGAGGAAACGCACCATGTGTCTGTGCTGTGTCCCCCCTATTCTGCTTCCCGTTATCAAATCCGGCACCAGGTTGGAAGAGTTGGAGATGTGGATGTCGGCGACAGAGCCGGCGAGTAAACGAGTAGGGCGAACGAAGGGTGTGAGGAAAACCTCCACAAGGATCGACCACCCCAGCTGTAGAGTACACAAGCCTCCCGCCGCCAGTGACTAATCCACCGTCCTTGAGGGATTAAAAAGACACGAACAGATCAGGAGACACAATGAACATCAGGCGAAGAAGCGACACAAATGACCAGTACCAATGCTGGGACACTGCAACACTACAGGGACAGACAGGAGCTTCACGTTCTACCTAGCTGAAGGAATAGTTAGTCATGTAACATCTTTGCTCCGTTTCTATCTTCTGAAATATGCAACATGTTTTTATAAACTTGGTTGTATATCTTACAGGACTCTACAGATAGCTGCACTAAAAGGTTTCTAATAAGATATTTTAGTATTTTACTGTTAATGTAGGTCTAGAGTTTGAGTTTATTATTGCTTTCTTATTGCCTCTAATTGTCGGAGATTATTTAGGAGTCATGCAACACTTACTAACCTCAGTAGTGTGTAGTGTGGCCAACAAGACGCCTCAATCACAGACCTAACATATTTGGGATTACAGCTGATGTAAACATATTAATGCATTATGCATCAGTGCAGATGCATAATGCATTAATATGCATCTGTACTGCATAATATTAATGCAGTAAAAATATTTTAAAGGGTACTGTGCCCTCTCTTAGAAAAAGAAATATATAGCACTAGGTCACTACACCATGGCTTCAGCTTATTCACCACACAACCTAGGAGAAACTCTGTGTGTCTTCATTCTACTGAGTATACTGTGCTGATTCTATTTTTTTAATTATTATTTTTGAGACCTAAACACTCCTTTTCTAAGGGAATGTGGAAGTCTTAAGGTTTTTAAAGTTGTGCGTTACTGAGAAAATGGCGCGGATCAGTATTGACGCATAATGCATTAATATTCTACCAGTTGGTTCTGGTCCTATGGATTAAAGCTCCACCCAAAGTGCTTTCTGATGTTTTTATGCATGCCAGAAAAGCTCCTGCTGTGTCTAATTTATCAGTAAAATAAGAAATCTATGACAGTCTAATTCGGTTGTAACATCAGATTGCCCATCTAGTTTGTCTGTGCTGGATCTACAAAGTTAACTCTTTTTACTAACTCTTTTCTAACAACTATTAAAGTGCAAATGTTGCCATTCCAATTTATAGTAATGCTTAAAGGAAAGCACACATTTTGTGAATTCATTGTTTTAATGTTCCTACAGTAGTGTGTCTATTCCATTTAATTGACAAAGACAAAGTGAAAACATTTGTGTAAAATACTAGATACCAAAATGTCACATGTAGAAAATATTCATATATTCATCTACTCTCATTTAGCCCACATTTCTACATTAAGATGTTTTCATTAGTCTAATTTCCTCTGAGAACAGCCTAAATATTCCCAAGCCAATGTACATTCATATTAACGTAATTTAATTTAATTTATTTATTTCAGAAACTCAATTACTAAGTGAAACGCATTGTATAGATTAATTCCATAAATACTAATGTTTGTAAGCCTTTTTTAGGTTGATTGTGATTGTCTCCAGCTAATGAAAAAAACATTTAAGATTACAATATTGGCTCAGACCTTTAAACAATTTAATACATAAATGTAGGCTTAAGGAAAAGCGTGTTTCATACCCCACTCCACTTTATTTCCAGAAGGTGCTTTTAATCTGAAATTCTAATCCAGAAGTTCCTAACTTCATTTTGAGAGTCATTTTGCTCTCAGTCCACCAACACAAATCATCTTGGCACTTTTATACAGTATTCTATTTTTTTTTTTTAGATTAAATATATTTTAAAAGCGCATATGTTGTTCAAACTAATAACAAGAAGAATAAATGTAAAAAAAAAAAAAAAAATATATATATAAATATATATATATATATATATATTTTTTTTT